GAGAGGCTGTGCACAGGCACGGATTCCACAAGGGAGCTGCTGCTTAGGGACAGGCAGGTGTGGTGAGCCCTCCCAAAGTGTTCTTCACTGCTGTCTCCATGATACCTACCCAGCTTACTTAGTGTGAAGGTTCCTTCTTCGTTGCTCCCTTCCACAGCCCTGCTGGGGGCCTTAGGGCCTGCCTTTTCATCTTTCTAGGAATTCAAGTCTTAATTCTCCAGAATAGTGTGGCCCTGGTCCCAGAATGTGCCTTGCAGTATTTTTGTGTTCAGGGAGAAACAGTAGCTCATGCATGAGAAGCTGGGGACTCTGTTGCTATGGCAGTGGTTCAAAATGTATTTCCTTAAATGCGTTCTTTGTAACCGTACCTTCATTTAGTCATCTCCCAGATAATGAAGCCCAAAGTCTCGTCCCCAGCACAGTTCTCTTCTTTGGGGTGCTTTCAGCATCTTCAGTCTAAAAACAGACTAGACTTTCCATGTTAATGCACAACATAGAAAATGTTATTGTCTGGCTTTGAATATGTGTATAAATCTACTGTCTCCTCTTTGGAGTGTTGTGTGTGCACATTTATTTTTTCCTGAAGATCTGCAGACAACGTGTTTCTTGTGGCTTTCTTTCTTTCATTTTAAAATTTCATAAGTGCTATATTTTTATACATTATGCTTTACTATGGATTTGAAAACCTTTTTGGAAATTTCTTCTGAATCTCTGTATAACATTTTTGTCAGGAGCTTTTATTCTATCCTTTATAGTAAACTTATTCACAGTCTTCTTTCTCATGAAATTATAGCATGCTCAGATTTCTGAGGTAGGTGAGTAAATGTTGAAGCAGAGGGAGAAGCAGGCTTTCTCCTGAGTAGGGAGCCTAATGTGGGACTTGATCCCATGGCCCCAGGATCATGACCTGAGCCGAAGGCAGATGCTTAACTAACTGAGCCACCCAGGCGCCCCTTAAGCAAACTTCTTGATCTAGGAAGGGTAGTTTTGTTTACCTTCAGCTTATGGACATATTTTTTAATGCGCCTTTTATTTTTGGATAATTTTAGATTTACAGAAAAGTAGCAATATTAGTACAGAGAGTTCCTGCCAGAATTCTACCCCTTATCTAGTTTTGGTTTCCCTAATATCATCCTACATTACCATGGTGCTTTTGTCAGACCCAAAAAACCAACATTGGTACATTACTAGTAACAAATAAAACTGTAGACTTATTTGGATTTCACCAGTTTTTATTTTTAAGATCCTATATATTTATTTCTATATAAAATCTATAATTTAAGATCCTATATATAAATATAAATTATATATATATATTTTAATCTCTGGATGGCAGGATTATGGGTATTTAAGATCCAGTATTCTTTTTTTTTTTTTTTAAGATTTTATTATTTGAAGGACACTTGGGTAGCTCAGTTGGTTAAGCATCTGCCTTTGGCTCAGGTCATTATCCTGGGGCCATGGGATCAAGTCCCATATTGGGCTCCCTACTCAGGGGAGAGCCTGCTTTGCCCTCTGCCTGACGCTCCCTCTGCTTGTGCTCTCTCCCTCTCTGGCAAATAAATACCATCTTAAAAAAAATAAAATAAAGATTTTATTATTTGAGAGAGAGCACAAGCGGGGAGAGGGGCAGAGGCAGAAGCTGACTCCCCACTGACAGGGAGCCTGCTGGTGCAGGGGCAGGGCTCGGGGGCTGGATCCCAGGACCTCGGGATCATGATCTGAGCCAAAGGCAGATGCTTAACCAACTGAGCCACCCATGTGCCTGATCCAATATTCTTAAAATGATGAAAGCCCTTTTACTAGAATCTTTACATCAAATGTTCTGCCCTTAGCATAAATCTGTCCTGGGGTTTATCTAGGGGTCATTCCCAAGCCTGCATATTTTTGTGCAAATGTGTGTCCTTACCCATTATAAATTATGTGTACTTCCCTCTACAGGTAAAGCTGTTTCATATCAGGCACTTTGTTGGGTTTTTTCCCTCCTGGATTACCTGTCATTCATGAAGCAAACGTTAGCATTTGTAAGATCACAGTCCGTTACAGTGGAAGGGATTTTCAGACGTATCTGAGCTTTTCTGTCCTGCAGTATGTTCATTCCTGGAAGCACTTGTTAAAAATTCCCAGGCTTCTGCCCTGGAAATTCTGAATCAGTTGGGGTGGGTGGGTTATGTACTTTTTAAAACTGAATTTCATTGTAGGTCCTGTACTTTGTAGTTTATCATTTCTTTTTTTTTTTTTTCCTTTTTAATTTTATTTATTTATTTGACAGAGAGAGACCAGGAGAGAGGGAACACAAGCAGGGGGAGTGGGAAAGGGAGAAGCAGGCTTCCCGTGGAATAGGGAGCCCGATGTGGGACTCGATCCCAGGACCCTGGGATCATGACCTGAGCCAAAGGCAGACGCTTAACAATTGAGCCACCCAGGTGCCCTAGTTTATCATTTCTTAGAACTGAATTTCATTTTAGGTTCTGTATTTTGTAGTTTATCATTTCTTAGTATCTTTCATTCTTCCCTGATGTTTTTTCCTTTGATCGCCCCCAATACTTTGCATAATTCTTAGTACATAATAGGCAGTAAGTTTATTAAATGTTTGGTCTAGCCCATATTCCCTACCCATGAAGAATATAATAGGTTAAGACCCCCAGAAGAGGGGGTGATTTAAGAGAGACTGTTCCAGGACTTGGGCTCTGGGTCCTGCTTTATGAAATAAGGATTAAGGAAGAAGAGCAGAAAACTTTTGTCCTGGGTTTTTTGTATACTATTGAGTTATTGAATCCAACTCAGGTTTGTTTAATTCCTTTGTAGTTTGAGCCTTATTGTATTGAAAAGAGTGGGGCACCTGAGTGGCTCAGTCAGTTAGGCGTCTGACATTTGGTTTCGGTTCAGGTTGTGGTCTCAGGGTCCTGGGATTGAGCTCCATGGGGCTCTGTGCTCAGCTAGGAGTCTGCTTGGGATTCTCTCCCTCCCTGTCTGCCCCCAACCCTGCTCTTGAGTTCTTGTGCATGCTCTCTCTCTCTCAAATAAATAAATCTTAAAAAGAAAAAGAGCAACTCATATGCCAAATGTTTAGACCATGGAATGACTGTAATATCTGTGTTTGTGTCTGAGGCTCTCCCCTCCACCCTCGTACCCTTTCACTTTTTTTTTTTTTTAACCCTTTCCAGTGTTTAATTATTTGGTGTGATTCCTTAGAGACTACACATGACCCTTTTTTTTTTTTTTTAAGATTTTATTTATTTTTGACAGAGACAGTGTACAAGCAGGGGAAGCAGCAGGGAGAGGGAGAAGCAGGCTCCCTGCTCAGCAGGGAGCCCGATGTGGGGCTCCATCCCAGGACCCTGGGATCATGACCTGAGCCGAAGGCAGACGCTTAACGACTGAGCCACCCAGGCATCCCCACACATTACCTTTTATCAATTATCACCCTGTATTTGGGGGGAAATGATACACAGTTGAAAGAAAAACCTGCTGGTTCACTGTAAGACTGCTTGCTTTCAGCAGTTGGGAGTTCCTGTGTTCCTAGAAAGGCACAGGTCCAGAAAAGATAGACATAAAGCAAACTAGAAATAATGCATTTGAGGAATAACTCGGGAGATCAATGATTATTTCCCCCCAAGCTACCCAGTGACTTAAAAAACAATTTAGGGGCACCTGGGTGGCTCAGTTGTTGGGCATCTGCCTTCGGCTCAGGTCATGATCCCAGGGTCCTGGGATCGAGCCCCGCATCGGGCTCCCTGCTCAGTCAGGAGCCTGCTTCTCCCTCTCCCACTCTCCCTGCTTGTGTTTCCTCTCTAGCTGTCTCTCTCTTTGTGTCAAATAAATAAAATCTTTAAAAAACAAACAAAAAAAACAATTTAATAAATAATAGCCTTTTGTTTAAATTTTTCTACCTTGATTTATGCATTTGAGCTTTTCTAATAAAAGCTCAAAATAAATTACAGTCAGTGATTTTTTAGTGGGTAGAAGACGTTTGTAATTTTAAGTGTTTGTTTTTGCTTTTTAAAAGATTTCTGCCTTGAAGGCATTTCCTAGAAAGCAGTGGTACAATAATACATCGAGGAATTAATAAATAAAAAGGACACACCAAGATGCCAGAACTTTGCCTTGGGTCTGTTGTGTGTGTTTTCCTTTTCCTGTGCCATTTCATCAGCAGTTCCATAGATTACTTCAAAGTTCCTTATCAGTCAGCACCTTGGATTTTGTGTGTGTTGGTTTTTTTGTTTGCTTTTTTTCTTAGTCATTGAAAAAGGGAAGCAAAATGTCACCTGTTTTTTCCTTCTCATCCGACCTCTCCCGTTTCCCCACAAGTGCAAAAAGCTCAAACCCTCATCCTCTACAGTCTTTGATGTGGAGGCAGTAGAGAATGTGCTTTGTGCTTTCCAGTACTTTCTCTTCCCTGTTATCTAAGGGAACTTCAGGATAATTTATTTATTTATTTATTTGTTTTTTAAGATTTTATTTATTTATTTGAGAGAGAGAATGAGAGAGAGAGCACATGAGAGGGGGGAGGGTCAGAGGGAGAAGCAGACTCCCCGCTGAGCAGGGAGCCCGATGCGGGTCTCGATCCAGGGTCTTGATCCAGGGACTCCAGGATCACGACGTGAGCCGAAGGCAGTCGCTTAACCAACTGAGCCCCCCAGGTGCCCCAGGATAATTTATTTTGCTGCAGAGATTAAAAATTCATTTCCTATTCTTGTTTCCTTATCATTCAGGGCCAAAAAATGTATGTTTTTTTCCAGCCTCGTCTCAGCCAGGTATCTTCATTTACTCCGTCCTAAAGTGTTTCCTTTCATTGTCCCTACTATTTTTGAGTCATTTAGTTTCATCTGGTGCTGCATCACTTATGTTTACAAATTCTGTTTGATATACTTGTTTAAAAACCAATTTGATTGTCACAGGTTGCTGCTTTTGAAAAAATCGATATCCTACCTGAATTACCACCCTCAGGACAAAGCAGTAAAGTAGATTTCTTTGTTTTCTCATTCCATTTAAAGCAGTATTAACTTCAGAGAAAAGTAGTGACTATCCTATAAGCCAGAATCCCGAAAGCCTTTCTGCTGACAAATTTCAAGTATCTCTGGATAGTTCCACCAGTAAAAATAAAGAACCAGGAACGAGAAGGTAAGAAGTAATAAATGTCAAGTTGTAGTATCTAAGTAACATCTTTACTTATATTGAACGCTTATTATTAAATTTTTTTCACCATCCTTTTTCTGGTTTTTTGTAAAGAACCATTTCTAACCTCTCATTGCCCCAGGACACTTCTTTTGTTTAATTGCACATAGGTTTTCTGGATCTATACAGGGCATGAGCTACGAAGTCAGAAATGCACAGTAGATCTGTCCCTTTTGAAGGGCAGAATAAAATATAGAACTGAAACCTAAACAAGCCTGGGAGCTGACGTAGACCAGCAGCCCTTGGCCCTGATTGAAGTTTTGGCCTCTCTAGAAAAAGTTTAGCTATTGATTTACCCCAGGAAAATTCAGAATATCTTTCAGGGATGTCTATGCAAATCATTATTGAGATAAGACTGTGTAGCACTTCATATTTTCAAAAGTACTATATCTGCTTCCTCATTGGATCTTTACAATACTGTGAGGGTAAAAGAACAAGTAGGGACTGTTCTTCCTATTTGATAGTGCAGGACAGAACCTCAGAGCCATCAGAGTCCTGCATCTTACCACTCTAGGAAGGAAAAGGAATTCATATTTATTGAGTTCCTACTGTGTGTCAGTATACTTTTATTTTTTATTTGTCTTCCTGAAAATAGTGACAAGTTGTCGATAATCTACTCATACTATCTTTCAAGCCTCTTGAACTAGGATATATTTTTGAGGCTGGGAGACTGACATTGTGGCTGTGACAGAGAATGCAAAGATCTGGCCTCCACAGGCGCTAGCCCATGTTTAGAGGGAATGACTTCATTGCCATGTTTTAATCAATTAGCTAACCATCCATTTAATATTTACACTAAATATTCCTATACCTCCTCCTCCTCCCCAGTGTACCCAACAGAGACTTCTATTAAAGAACCTACACATTGGGGCACCTGGGTGGCTTAGACAGTTAAGGGTTCAATTCTTTATCTCAGCCCAGGTCTTGATCTCAGGGTTGTGAGTTCAAGCCCCACACTGGGCTCCATGCTGGGGCGGAGCCTACATAAAATATATATTGAATATATATTGAATGTATATTTCATATATATATATATGGAAAGAAAAGAAAAAATACCTACACATTGATTGAATGTCCTCTTTCTACTAGAGTACCTGAGAGCGGCGATTCGGGTTTTGCTCATCTTTAATGCACAAGGCCTACTTTTATTGCCTGACTTGTAGTAAACACCCAATAATTGTTTAATAGACAATTATTTAATGTATTTTAGTTATTAACATTATTATGTTATAATATCTTATATAACCATTATAATAGATTATATATTATAATAATTTTATTATTTGATAACCAGAGTTATTTAAAGGAAACTCTTAATAATGCATTTGAGGATGAATTCCTCAAATCTCTTAAGTATCGTTTAAATCTGTTGCTAAGTATCTTATTCCGCAAAGCCCTAAGCAGCTGAAAGAGTGGAGGACAGAATCACTGGGCGCCCAGTACTTTATAGCTGGCTTTTGTTTTGAGAATGGCTTTGGACATTGAAAAGACAGGAGGTAGGGATGATTCTGTGAATTCTGCTAAAATTGGGTAGAAAGAATGAGTGTAGAAATGTCAAAATTAATCAGCTTTCTATTTTCATGAGAGATCTGATTCTAATACATCCATTTGGACTCAAGTGGAATAGCGTATAGAATTTGATTGAGTGAGTGGCAGTGGAGAATTTGGTGAAATTTGCTGACACGCTTTTAAACAGCTGAGAGATACCCTGCCTCAGCCCAGGCCGTAAGGGGAGCTGTTATATGTCAGCCTTGACACATTGGCAGGCTTCATGAATCCAGACTTCTGAGCAGTCACTTGGGTTCTTTTTTCGCTAGTCATTCCCCATCTCCCTGACAGTGAGCTGTTCCACTTGTGTGTCTGCTGCCCGGGAAGTATGATGAGTCCTTTCACAAACTGTGGTGGTGTGTTTCTCCCTTCATCCTTCTAGGTCTTCCCCTTCTCAATCCCGGTTGTTAGATACTAAGTGGTATGTGCACAGCAACCCAAGGAGTCTTCAGAACACAAACTGCCCTGCTCAAGAGGAGCTTGTTAAGGTTGTCAGTGTGGAGGAGCAACAACTGACCAAGTCAGAGGCGCGAAATTTCATGGAGCAGTCTGATTTGCCAAGACCAGATCTGGGTACTGTTTCATCTGTTCTAATGGAGAAAACAACGTCTGTTTTACTTTGAATCTGACCTAAAGATATTTTGGTTAACGAACTTTTCAGATGTCTAGCATGTCTAGTCTATCTATAATGAATGCTTTTCTTATACTTAAACCCATTTTAGAAAAATAGCTTGAATATTAATCCAAACTGACATGAAAAAAAATTTTTTAAGATTTTATTTATTTATTGGACAGAGAGAGACACAGCGAGAGAGGGAACACAAGCAGGGGGAGTGGGAGAGGGAGAAGCAGGCTTTCCGCTGAGCGGAGAGCCCGACGCGGGGCTCGATCCCAGGACCCTGGGATCATGACCTGAGCCGAAGGCAGACGCCTAACGACTGAGCCACCCAGGCACCCCAAATTGACATGAAAATTATTGCAGCCCTTGATCTGTCTTTATTGGCTTAACTCTAACAGTTTTGAGGATGGGAGTCTTGTGTGCTCTAAGTATTTTATTTCAACTGTTAAGTAAGAATTCTAGGTCCCTAGGGGTGCCTGGCTGGCTTAGTCAGTAGAGGATGCAACTCTTGATCTTGGGATCGTGAGTTTGAGCCCCTCACTGGGCATAGAGATTACTTAAAAAGAAAAAAAAAGGTAAAAAATAAAGAATTCTAGGGCCCTAGAAAAAAGTTTTCAGCCTGTCCTTTATTGAAAAATGAGTCAAATCTCCAAAATAAGCTCTTATTTTATGAATTAATGAATATAAATGATTATGTATTTTATGCCTTATAAATCACTTTAAATGAATGGTGTGTTTTATGGCTTATAAATCAAAGTTTTAATCAGTAAAGAAAGTTTTAAATTAGTCCTCAAAAACACATCATAAAAGGTGCTCTTTGGCACCTAAATGTTGTATTTGGCCATGTACATTAAGGTCATTTTAGGAATCTCACGTGTTCTCTTTAGCTGTGCTTACTTCCTGATGGAGTGACATTTTCTGAAGTGTTTCAGGAATGGTCTTCTGTTTTAATTTGGTAATGATATCTGATGATTTATTAGGTCAGAAAGACAATGATATAATGGATAAAGAAAAATCACGTATTTGTCTAATTTTTCAAAATTGTTCTCCTTCCTTACAAAAGTACCATGCTCTTTATGGTCATTGTTAAAAAGTTGGAGAATATAGGTAATAAAAAATTTGAAAAGAATATTTAAAGTTACTTGTATTCCTGTCATTAGCAATAAAATGCTGCCATATTTTTTTAGTCAGTTGACTTAAACTTTTTATTTTTTAAAATATAGAATCATGAAGACTATTTGTAATTCAAGATTCATCATCATGTGGGTTAAACTTCTTCCCTTGTGCCTTTCAGAGGGAACCCCTTACCTCGAGTCTGGAATCAGCCTCTTCTCTGCTGACCCTGAGTCTGATCCCTCTACAGACAGAACCCCAGAGCCAGCTCATATCAGCAGCATGCCAACTTCAACCTCTGCATTGAAATTACCCCAATTTCAAGCTGAAGAATCAGCCAAGAGTACAGCTACTGTCCATACTGCTAATACTGCTGAGTATAATAAGAGGGAAGACAGTGTGGGCAGGGAGAAGCCAAAAGTTGTATCTTCAACAAAAAGAGTCAACAGAAGAATATCTATGGTGGCATCAGGCTTAACACCAAAAGAATTTGTGAGTGTATTTATGTATCTCCCTAACAACAGAGACTTCTTAACATATTGCAAATAGTTTTAAATAGGTACTAGCAACATTTCAACCTATAGGGAGAAATCTAGGAGCCAAGAATGATTCTATGTAATCTAATTTCCCTTGCTAATTTCTGAAGATTAGGACCTAGATAAAGCTGTAGCATGGACTATTTTGTATATATTTAAGAAAATAATTATTAAGTATTAGCAGAAAGGTTATAGTTTTGGGTATAATATAGAGCTTTTTAATTTTAATTTTTTTTATCTAAAAAAACAAGTAAGTATAGTTTTAATCCCCAGAGGAAACACCCTGGTTCTATCTGAGTGAACTTACGAGCATAATTAACTAAATCCAACTTCCAAGCAAACGGACAGATAGTGGCATTTCTCCAGTGTTTGTCTTTATCCTGGCTTGTGATACAGTTATTCAATAGCCTGCTCTTTCATTTCTTTTTTTTTTTTTTTTTAAGATTTTGTTTATTTATTTGACAGAAAGAGACACAGCGAGAGAGGGAACACAAGCAGGGGGAGTGGGAGAGGGAGAAACAGGCTTCCCGCCGAGCAGGGAAGCCCATGCAGGGCTCGATCCCAGGACCCTGGGATCATGACCTGAGCCGAAGGCAGATGCTTAATGACTGAGCCACCCCGGCGCCCCCCGCTCTTTCATTTCTGCCCTACAGCACCCCTTCCCTGTTAGGATTTGACATGTCCTTGGGCCCCTGGTACCAGAAATAGGAATTGTTTCACATTATAGAGAAAAATATCCATTAAAATATTAAGACCACTAAAAATTTTGTTTCTGCTTGGGCTGAGTGTAGATTTCAGACATCATAGGAAATTGACCTCCCTGGTAATTAATCACCATTGGTTTCCTTTCATAATAAAGTAGCTGAATGAATATTTCTTTAAAATCATAAGATAACACACCAGCTTATCAGATGGTTGCAATAGCGGGTGCCATTTATTGCACTCTGAGAGATGACCAGGTCATTCTTAAATATCTTTCTTAATATATCCTTCCTAGGCTTCCTTTAAGCTTTTCTTAATATAGCCTTCTTAGAATCATTTCTTGTCCTCTCTATAGGTAGTGGCTCAGGGGCCAAATGTATCCCACTACTAGAAGGGCAGAGTAACCTGTGTCTGCCCTAGTAGATACAGTAAATAAATTTTCATCAATAATGCTAGAATTCCCATCTCAAGACCATGCGCCCAGATCAGCTGTTTGTTCTGAAAATTCATACCTTTGTCTGCTTATATTGCTCTTGATCATTTGCCTATACATCTAGAATTCTCATTTATTCATTGAAAATTAGCATTCCCCGGAGTGCCTGGGTGGCTCAGTCGGTTAAGCCGCTGCCTTCGGCTCAGGTCATGATCCCGGGGTCCTGGGATCGAGCCCCGCATCGGGCTCCCCGCTCAGC